GGAGATGGTTATTTTTTGGGTTTTCTTCTACCAGAGTTAGTTGAGTAAATGTACACATATTTAAAACAAAAAAAAATAGGGCATGTTGGTCCTTGCTCTCAAACCCAAGGAAAGATTATATGAAGAATGTTCAATAATTCTTATGACGACATTATTCAGGAGCTAATCAAATTTGAATCCATAGTTTCTTCAGAGTTATACGGAATATTATATATCATAGTGAGCTCAGTGTTTAATATCTGGCATATAGAAGCCATGATTTGTACAGTTCTAATATAAATATTGAGGGGGTGAAATCAGATAAATTGCAATTTGCCTGAAGTGTATCTTAAATGTTTATTCAGTACCCACACTTATGCGCACACTTATGCGCACATTTATGCAATTGTATTTAAAATACACGCGAGAAAATATGTCTAAACACTTTAAAATAGACTTGTAAACCTATTAAACTTGTTCGGATTTATTTATAAAAAAAAAAGACGATAATATTGGGTTCAATTATTTATGGAAAAATAATAAGACCGACAATTTTATTTACACATTAATGTTATTATAGTTATCACAATCATTATTATATTATGAAATCAAGATAGCCATTAAACGACATGTTACCGTTGTTCAAAAATTACTACACCGATTTCGTTATTATATATCAAGCATACACTCTCATTACAGAGGCACTACAGGCGAATTTCGTTCATGAACTATTTTAGTCGTAAAATAGATAAGATTTCATTACTGCAATACCTTGTCGCCAATATGAGATGATTTGAGAAGAGAAAGCACTGCCTTAGGGCTTCCTTCTCACTTTTAAAATTTGTTAACCTGCTCCTTGAAGTTCGAGGTTTATCAGATGGGATCTGGATCAAGCTCCCTGCAAAATAAACGAAATAAAATTATACAGATGAATGAAACGAGAACACACAGAAATAATACATATCATATTATCATTATTTCCCTATGCTTACAGATATATTTTACCACTACAACAATTTCTCAAGGAATTTCAGAACAGCTGCTACCTTACCTGATGGTTAGTGCAAACCATTAACAAGTTAACTATCAAATATGCTAGCCATTTGTTACCTTAGGCTCGCTACCTCGTAATGAACTCCAAAATGCATAGAGCAAGCACCTGTAGGATTTTGTGCCTAAAGGTCAGGGGCAGAAACTTACGTACAGCGCATGCGTGTATCTACTGCATACGGTAATCTTAAGGAGATTTGACTTTTTTTTTCAGTTAAATATATCACATTAGTTTTTGTTACATTATTAGAAAACTATGATGAAATTACGATCGATCTCAAGCCTTATTTGTAACCAAAAACAGCTAATAAAGAAACTACAAAACACTAACGTAATTCAAATTTTCTACTAGAAATAATGAAAAATACTTCAATTGACATTTATAAAACAGAGATTCGTAAAATCCGATTTAAAATGATATTGAACTTTTAATTTCTTAATTATATTATAATAATTTCGAAGAAGCCGTGTGGAACTGAATGAACTCTAAGATAAATAAGGTAGCAATGTCTGTTACGGTGTACACGTATCGCGTAGCGGTAGCTCACACTTTATACCCATTCTGAGGTGTGCAAGAAACGTTTATGGCATAGACTGAAACAGTATATTTAAAACAGATTTATTTACATGCATGTTAGTAATTAATTTATATGGACCGTAAAACGCTATTTATATATATATATATATTCACGTCAATTCAACGTCAAATAAGATATATTATCCTGTTTATTTTCTCTCCAATAAGCGAGAGGTATACTTTGGTAAAACTGATATTTTATAATTATGTTCGTGGTATAATACAAATATTATAATTCACATTGAACTGTATTATATTTACAATCTAAATTGCTTAACAAAAATGGTGATATCCACAAATATTTTGATGCTAGTTTCAGTCATTTGGAAGCCTATTTTATCTGAGAGCAGCGTCCCTGGCAGAGTCTGGACGTTTACTACAAGGCACGGGGCCGATCGATTTGGTTCTGTACTTCCGTTTCAGTTAAACTGCTCTTCATGCTCCATGCGATGCTGCCGCTACTTCAGTCAGTGTCCAAATTTAGAAATAGCAGCTAAAAGCCCGTTTATCCTATTGACGCTTATATACGTGCAACCACATACTCATTTTCTAGACTTAATGAAGACGACAATAATAATTCCGCTGAACCTCTTATTTTTAACGTGCTTTTTCACCAGCTCCATAGGAGCTAATTACAGAGTGAGCACAAATAAAAATTAAAACACATGTAATACAAAACAATGCATATATGTAAGACATTCTAGAACACAGTAAAACACTAATATTTGTACAATATTGTCAAGTGTTTATGGCTCCGTGACTAGTAATAAGGGGTTCTGAATGGGATGATTGTACGTTCTTGTACAATCTCTCTTAATCACAATCAATTCCAGCAGCTCACAATCAGTGACTGTCTAAGACTCGCTCCAGTCTTACACAATCTCCAGCTTCGGAACTCGACTCTCTTTTATCCATCTTGCACGGACCACACGGAAAACACAGCCTGTATTGTTGACAAAACATATTTACCGCGACGGTGCCTAGCAATAGATCCCTTCTGTGGGAATGTGTTTAGCGACCCGTTCCCTAACAATGGACATGGTGCGGTCCACATAGAAAACAATTCTTGCAATAACTTTTCTGTTGCCTTTGCCTAGAAATGGGTCTTCACGTCACAATATCATAATTGTACAATCATTGTACTTTGTGTTAGAGTACCAGCGCACGTGACTTATAAGAAAGCATAACAATGTCTCAGTTATATGTTTTACGTGATTAGATTCATATATTATTTACATACAAACGTAGAACAGGAAAATGCTGATAACTAAGGAGTATTTTTATTGCTAGTGGGGTGGGACTAAGTCCCTTGTACTGTGGCCATTTCTGGCCCATTGTACCAGCCCCAGGTGATAGGCGAGGGTGATTGTGAAGCAATTGGTGGAATGAAGATTGGCAGGGGAAACCGAAGTACACAGAGAAAACCTGCCCCAGCGCCACTTTGCCCACCACAAATCCCACTTGACCAGACCCGGGATCGAACCCGGGTCGCCGCGGTGAGCAGCCAGCGACTAACCGCTTGAGCTATGGCGCGGCCCAACTAAGGAGTAAGTGACAGAAAATCTGAACAATACATCGGAATGACCTATCGGCGCATACAACAAAGTTTCCTCGCGTTTCGGTGTCAGCACAAATGTACTGAGAGAAGCTGAACAGATATTTGCAGGGGCAAATTCGATACCATATAGTTGATTAGAGATTTCCATAGCGAAGTGGAATCTGATGCACGTTTTCCATAGTATGGGGTATGTTGATATACACGACTTACCCTCCAATACCCGCGTTATAAGCCACCCGTGTTAAGAGTGTAATTGACATTTATCTAACTTCTGAATCCATGTTATTATGCGTAAAATATTTATTTAGTGATTGAAATGCTTACATGGAAATTAAGGTACATTTTAGTCACGGCCGAGCAGGTAAATGAAGGGCTAAATATATTTTGTTGGTTAAATAAAATACTGTAGTCCCGAGGTTTTATAAACCTGCGACCTATATACTGTACCCACTGTACCTGCAAACTACGGAATGGAGTGTTGAACTAGCCTTATACAGTACTTAGAACACTTCATAGATGTTTTTACAACATGAAACCTGTACTAAATTGTACTGAGGGCCATAACCAAAGTCGCGATATAACGACGGCCCACTGCATCATCATCATCATCACCATTTCGACATATTTGCAATAGGTGCTGTTTCTCGCACCCGTATTTTACAGTCTTCTGCCTAAAATTTTTAATAATATTTAAGGCTCTGCGTTAGGCAATTTTTCGTTAATATATTCTCTGTTTATTTTTAATCGCATTTGTTTTTGTTTGTTCACTTCTTCTGTGTTTATGTGTTTTCTTTCTCCAGTGTTTGCCTGTAACTTATCTCTCAGCTGTTGTTGAGCACTGCAGTAGATGAACGTAAATACTACCATTACTTTCACATTACGCTTAATAATACCGTATCTTTTAAATGCATACAGTTGCTTCCTCAACTCTAACCTCAACATGATTATTATCATTATTATTATTGTTATTGTTTGCAGGGATGCTGACATATTCGGAGCCAGGAATATTCTACCCAAACTATTCTTGAATATGGTATAATTGTTATATTATTTGCATGAACATAAACAGGAATTAAACTCAATTATTATTATTATTCTCTCTGAACATCTATACTTTTAAATTCTCAATTCTCAATAGCAACTATTTGTGATAATGTTATTATTATCTTGTTTGTCTAGTTATATGCATTAATCTGTTTTCCTCCAATGCTTACCTTTAATTAGATTTGACTTTATGTTGTGTTTGTCTAGTATGTAACTACTTCTATCTAAACTGTGCTGAATTTGTAATTGGCCTTTGGGCTGTTGGCTCAGCGCATAAATAAAAAAAAAATTAAATTGAATTATTATTTTATTATCAGCATTACTCAGATATCATAAATTGCCTTGTTTTGTACTTTGTGTGTGTCTGTTTCTTTCTTTCACTCCTGCCTGGTTTGTATTTCGCCCTTGGGCTGCTGGGTTAGCAAGAAAAAATAAGAATTTAATGTAATTTAATTATCGTCTTAATCAGATATATGTCAGGTAATTAAGTAGGCCCGATATAATATTGTTATAGGGAATAAGAGCCCGTTTCTAAATCAATGGCCGCTTTATTATTAGCGATATTGAGCTCTCGAGTTGTGTTACGAGAGGGTTAATTAGGCAGTTAACAAGCAGGCCTAATGCACAAGTGCTTTCCGCAGTGAATATACCGTTACGAGAAAAGGCGTTTTACGCAGTCCCTCTGCATGATATGTACAAGGAACGCCATCACGGCTTCCTTGAAGTCATGTTTCGGTCATGAATTGAAGGTTCTCAGGGCTGTTGCCATGAAGAATACTACATTCTGGGATGTGACGCCGAATAGGCGACCAGAGGTTCACACGCGTTTCGGAGGAACGTTTCCATCTTCATGGCAGAAGACTAAGTCAGCAAGCAGCCAGAGCGAATGAAGATAGGAACAGAGCAGGCTGTGCTCTGCAATCACAACACTAGTTACTTGTACGTATGATGTGCTGAAATATTCTCGAGACATCAGCCATGACAATGTTGAAATAAAAACCAACCTTTCGGAGATCTCCTCGGTCTCCATCATCAGGGTCGATGTTATGAATGAGTGAGACGGAGAGAGAGAAAAGTGGTGGGATGCAGTGAGAGCCACTACATTTGGGGGGGGGGAAGGAATATTTTTTTTAAATCTCCCTTTTATCTCAGTGGCATCTAAGAGCCAATGCGCATTGGCGTTTCATTCAGTCCGACGGGCGAGCCAACGGGAACTGATTTGCTGTCTTCCATTTCTCTCCTGTTTCATATACAACCCGAAATTTCGGCAAGCCCATTGTGCTGCTTGTCATCTGCTTTCACGCTGGTTTCTTGCTTGGCTTATTCTTTGACCATGAAGATGGGAGCGAGATGTTCCTCCGATACGTCGGTTGACTTTCAACGGACTGCAAGGCGTTATGAGCCACAAGATAGACCTCTTCAGTTTGATTAGAGAGGTACCAAGTTAAGCAAAACCGTGAAAATTTAGCGTTGGATGGGTGACCTCAATACACCAATGGGAAGAGGCATCGATCTGGGAGACGGGTATAAATATCAGCGACATACGGTTATTCACCAAATTCACCATGATGATGGAGGCTGAGGAGATCTCAGAAACCTTGGTTTTTAATTCAACACTGACACTGCTGATCTCCCGAGAATATTTTAGCACATTTACTGGCGGTGAAGG